ATAAACAGTGTTTTAGCTTACCTTCTTCGTCCATCCAGCCCTTCTTGTGAACGGAGACCTGCATCCTTGGCGCCTCGAAAAAAATGGTCAACTCGCACATTTAAAATAATAACAAACTACATATGTAGCCCAGTGTATATGCATCTAAGAAAATCGAATAAAATATGATTACTATAATCAGTTTCCTTTCCTTTCTGTCATCAAGGTAAAATATAATGCACGGCATCATCTTAACACTTCTTGCACTTCTCTCTTGTTTAGAATTTGGCAACTTGACAGGGTAACCTCGTTCGCCAAAGTTGCAAGAAGAATGAGTGCTGACTTGATCGTAGTTGATGACAGCAACAGGCACTTCTGAATTTGGCAGAGGCTCGTTCATCACTTGACACTTGTCACTCATTGGTCCAGTTTGTAATAGTTGCCTTGGTTCTGGTAACTTGGCAATCAGTTCCCACTTTGATGAACTTTTTCTAAAGGTAACTCCATTTTCTCTGAGGATTTCTTTTAACAATCCTTTCGTCAAATTTTTGGGTGCACATTTTTTTGCTTCTCTGTTTTGCTCCTTCTGTCGTTCCTTTTCTAGTCTCTCCTTGAATTGTTTCAGTTTCAGTAGCAAGTGTTTCAGTTTAGAAGGGTTGATCAACACATCATCAGTTTGTCTGCATCTATGACATATTTTTCAAGCATTGCTTGTGAAACACATCACTGGAAGTCATTCATAGTGTTTAGTTTCCACATGGAACCGACTTCCAACTTGTCCGAAAACAAGTCCCTTATTTGGAATCGGAAATGAAGCGAAGTCCTTTGAATAGATACCTTTCTCAGTTGTTTGTGGTGAAATGATTTCATCGACACAATCGTAGAAATCACTTTGAGAACTGGACATCCATCTGGCCATACGAGATCTTTCTGGTCTGTAAACTTTTCCCTCTTGTAAAGACAGAAATTCCAATATATGGAAATAGTGCTCTTGATATTCCACACATGATGGCAAGCGCAAGTAGTCTGTCCCATCCTGGAGATACTGCACCATCTTTTCCCGACATTTCTCTATTGAGGTATATGAGGTTATCCCCCTCTTGTCTAATA